CCTCTGCTTTAATAGCTACAAAAAATCACCTAAAGTAATCTGATATTAACCAATCAGATTCTTTTTTTCTATTGTTCTGCTTCTTTGTTTCCACCTTACAAAACCCACTGTTCTGTAATTTCCCAGTGGGACCTCTTGTCCTATTTATTTATTGAGACTGAGTCTCACTCTGTCACCCGGGCTGGAGTGCAGTGGTGCAGTCTTGGCTCACTGCAACCTCCACCTCGCAGGTTCAAGCAATTCTCCTGCCTCAGCCTCCCAAGTAGCTGGGATTACAGGCACACACCACCACACCCAGCTAATTTTTGTATTTTAGTAAAAACAGAGTATCACCTGGTCTCAAACTCCTGACCTCAGGTGATCCACCCGCCTCGGCCTCCCAAAGTGCTGGGATTACAGGTGTCAACCACCACATTCAGCCCTTTTGTGTTTTGTAGGACGGAGATTGCCCCAATCCATGGCAAATAAATAAAAGAAAATTAGCCAGGCGCGGTGGCTCACGCCTGTAATCCCAGCACTTTGGGAGGCTGAGGTGGGTGGATCACGAGGTCAAGAGATCAAGACCATCATGGTCAACGTGGTGAAACCCCGTCTCTATTAAAAATACAGAAAATTAGCTGTGCACGGTGGCGCGTGCCTGTAATCCCAGCTACTCAGGAGGCTGAGGCAGGAGAATTGCCTGAACCCAGGAGGCGGAGGTTGCGGTGAGCCGAGATCTCGCCATTGCACTCCAGCCTGGGTAACAAGAGCGAAACTCCGTCTCAAAAAAAAAGGAAATTAGATGTATCACTAATCCGATGCATTCTTGGGCATATCAATTTTACTAAAGAGTGCATATGGAAATAGAGGATCTGGAAAGGGACTCTCTTTTTTTTTTTTGAGACTGAGTTTCGCTCTTGTTACCCAGGCTGGAGTGCAATGGCGAGATCTCGGCTCACCGCAACCTCCGCCTCCTGGGTTCAGGCAATTCTCCTGCCTCAGCCTCCTGAGTAGCTGGGATTACAGGCACGCGCCACCGTGCCCAGCTAATTTTTTGTATTTTTAGTAGAGACGGGGTTTCACCATGTTGACCAGGATGGTCTCGATCTCTTGACCTAGTGATCCACCCGCCTCGGCCTCCCAAAGTGCTAGGATTACAGGCATGAGCCACTGCGCCTGGCGGGACTCTCTTAAAATAATCTGTGACCAAGATTGTATAGAGTTTTCAGGTATCCCCAGGGGAATGGTAACCAAGTTGGGCAACCAGGGTATTAAAAACTGTATTTTACAAGTTATACTGTGGATGATGGCGGGGAAAGAAACTCAGAGGTTGCTGACATGAGTGATCCAGTAGCAAGGAGGCACTGAGCTACCTCCCAGAGTGGAGTCCTAGAAAGGGCCGGAGGGCATGAGTCCCATGCTTAAGGGTACTTAAGCATCAACCTTAAGTAAGTAAAAGGCTCTTTTTGGATTTTCGTGTTTTGTATGATTCCAGTGCACGTGTGTGCACATAGTAAATTTCTGATGCTTTTCTCTGTTAACCTGTCTCTTGTTATAGGAGTGTCAGCCTTGACCCTTTATGATGGCGAGGAAAGGGATTACCCCTTTTCTGTCTCTACACCCATTTGAGGTTTGTGGTTGAGTATTTTAAAGTGCAATCGGTTGGCTCAGTTCTGTGATTGATTTCTGGGTGTTTGGCTTATGCAGCTGGCATTTGGTGGAGTCATTTATCAATAAATAAAATGAGGGAGGATAAGCAGGCCTTTCGGGAAAGATAATGAATCAGCTTTTGAACATGCTGAGTTTGAGGCAACAGTGGGACTTCAAAGTGGACTGGTATTATACATGGATCTAGTGGAGCGGGGAAGAGAAGCACATGGTGAAGATGTGATAGGAGAACTGTGAGTATGTGTTCCGGAGCTGAAACCAAGGGCACAGCTGAGATGACTGCGGGAGAGGGTGTCATGGAAGAGAAAGGTTAGCAGACCCCGAGGAGCACTAACGTGAAAGAGTCATATACATTCATCATGCTTGAAGGTCGTGTCTCTCTAAGCAGATACTGAGCTCTTCAGGGTCAAAGGCTGGGTCTTGAGCTTCATTTATTCTTAGCCCCTGTCACAGTGCTGGCCACACAGAGGACAACTCTAAAACTCACTCTGATTTTATTTCTCTGTAGTTTCATTTATGAGAATCCTATCACAGTTTATGATTTAAAATGCTGCTAAGGGATACCTTTTAAAAAATCGTAACTTTCATACAAATATAAAAAGAATATGTGTAAAGATTTCAACCCAGTAATTAACAAGAGAACTAGTAAAATGTCATGACCACTTCCAGAGATAATCTAAAGACCAGACAGATATACAGCCAAGGATGTGCAAATGAACTTCCCTAATGGATGCAAAACTGGCTTTTTCCAAAGGAAATGGAGGCAGGAAGGGTCAATTGTACTTTCACAGCATAAAATTTCTGTGCATATTTAGGGACAAATGTTAATATTATTTGCATTGCTATCAGTTATCCACAACTTACAGAGTTGTAAAATAGCTTAAAGAAAGGCACAGGATACACCATAGAATCACATCTGGAATGGCATGCTAGACCGACTATTTTTCCTTTGAAAACAACTGTAATCTTGGTTTGTTTCAAAGTCACAATTTCCCCTATAGTAGTAAAAAGAAAAACATGTTATCCCTACTATTTCCGTGAGCAAAGTCTGTTACAAAATATACATGGAAGTATATTTGGGCATTACTATAACATTTACTAACTGATTAGGGAGATGAGACAGACTTGGGGACCCCCTAACAGAATCTCTTCTCGTTGGCATGGGAAATGTTCAGGAATCAAACCAAACCACCTCAAACCCATCCTGGAATGAAGCAGACTTATAAACAAAATACAGAGGATGTTGAAATAGCCCATTGGCTAACTGAGTTTTCCAAGTCAGAGAGCAGGTCCTGAAGGTGGTGACTGTCTCTCCTGTCCCTTCTGTGACATGTCTGCCCTCCTCTGGGAATGCAGGACCGTCTGTCCGTCCGTCCGTATCCTCAGCCTTCAGTTCAAGCACATGATCCATTTAAAAATGGAAATGCTCCTATCCTTCAGCAGTGAACAAGGGCGACTCTGGTTGCTGGTGGAAAACTCAGCTGCTTGAGTCCCACAGTTCAGGAGTGGATGAGCATGAGAACTTGGTGATGATGGCTGGAGAAAATGCTCCTATGATTTCCCGAGTATAATATTTCCCCTTGCAATTTTTGAATGTTCTATAGCAGACCTGCCAAAAATGTGAAGCCTATAAATAGGGAAGGGTGGGAAGAAAAAAATGGGAGCTGTCACAATGCCACTGAAAATAGGGAACTAAAAACTTTCCAGAGATGCAAAGCCAAAGGGGGAGTGATATTGACTGAGAAATGCAGAAGCAGGTGCATACTTTACAAAGAAATGCCAAGAAATGTCAGGTGTTTTTATTTTCTTCTTTCGATGTGTAAACTGAGGTATTAGGGAATACGAAATAATGTGGTGTTTGGAATTTGTTTTAAAATATATTCCAACACAAAAAGAAGGTCTTGATGTGGTGGGTGGGGAGTGGACAGAGGAGTCAGGTTGATGATGGTGGAAACGAGGTGCTAAGTACATGGGGTGGGTCCTTGCGCTCTCTAGACTTGTGCGTGTTTGAAAATTTTCGTAACAAGAGAAAACAAAAAACTAAACAGAAAATGAGGCGTTCATTTCTTCCAGCCAACAAACATAAGAGGGACTTAGGATGCACTTTTCCCAATCGCTCCTCTGGCAGAATATTTTTATTCTCCAGCTAGCTTCCAGCTCTCATCCTATTCATCTGTTCTCTAGACACTGGCAGGAAATAGGTTCTTCAACAGGGCCTGCTAGGGAGTAGATCGTTTTGGATTTTATGCCTCCATTTTTTTAAGTGACCAGTTTCCTATTCAGGATACTTGAAATACAAACTCTCATGGAAAGGTCTTGCCCTCTGCTGCCCGATTCCTTTTTATTGGCTATCATGGCATTAATGTCATCTCCAAAGAGAAAAATTGGGAGGAGAGGCCTTGATTCCTCAATAAAAGCAGGAAGGAAAGGTTTGCAGAATGAAGAGTGTGAAGTGAGGTTTGCGGTTTGAGTCGTCAGAACGTAAAGGAGAAAAGAAGAAATTTGAATCATCATTTGACACAGTATTTACAGCTAGCGAAAGGGACAAGAGGAGAAAAACGTCTCAGAATAAAATTGGGGTGGGTGGGGGAGGAGGAGGAGGAAGGCAGTCTGAGAAATTGGTTTGGTTGCACCAGTACCGGCCACAACACAAACATTTGTCCATTCCTGCTTGAAATTAAAAACGAATATGCATACACATGTATTTGTCTGCTGTGTTTAATCAGATAGCGAAGCATTCCTTTAAGAATCTTGAAGACCCAAAGTTGTGCTCAGAGGCTGCCCACCTGGAACGGAGCCCGAGGTTGAGCAGGAAGCTGCCCAGAGGACCCAAAGCTGCCTAGCTGACCACCTTTTTCCTTCTGAGTTCCCAGTAACCGAGCCCAGCAGAGGAGACGCTACACTTCTCTGTGGGTGCAGAGGCTAAGGGCGGAGTCTCCATAGAGGCGTCAGGGCCCACCAGGAGCAGTGACCTCGCATAGGGAGGTGAAGAATGCGACCACAGTGATATGTCCAATCTGGAAAACGGGCCTGAGAACCAAAGGGCCAACTTCCGGCCATGCATAACGAAGCGGAGCAATCTCCGGGGAGAAGGCACTGGAAAAGCGTTGCAGGCCAATTTTTCCCAGTAAGAGCGGTGGGGTGGGAGGGAAACCCAGGGCGACCCGCTCACTTTTGATCCACCCTTGCAGCTCAGCCACGCCTCCTCGGGAAGTGAGGGGCCGCGCAGGAACCCTCGCGAGGCTGCAGTGTCGCCCTCCGCCGCATGAGGGAAGCACGGCCTAACCTGAGCGGCGGCGGCGGTCCCCGCGCCCCTCTTGGCCAGAGCCAGGCGCAGGCTGGCTTGCGGTGCCTTCGCTCATTGGCTGCGGCGCGGGCGCTGCCATGTTGGCGGAAGCGGACCTCTTGTGCCGTGGAAACGCGGTGGCTGCGGCCGCCGCGTCAGTCTGCGCAGCCTCCTGCGTTTTCTCGCTTGGATCTTGGCACTGAGAGGCGGTGGCCGGCGGGATGGAGAAAAGTAGGATGAACCTACCCAAGGGGCCAGACACGCTCTGCTTCGACAAGGACGAGTTCATGAAGGTGCGCGCGTCCTCGGCTTCCCGGAACCGGGTCATGGGGGTGCCACTGCCCTGTGCCCTCTGGGGGCCCTCTCTTCTGGAGGCTGCTCCTGCTCGCGCACGCTCGGTGTCAGGTCCTCGGCAGAGACCTCGCTGCACTTCATGATGAGTCTTTTGGCCTCAGGTTTGGCAGGTGCAGCCTGGAGAAAACACTTCTGTAAAATCGTGCATGTTACATGGAAAGGCCTGAAAGTTCTGGGCAAGTGGTTTTGAGCTGAATGTCAAAGCGCCTGTTAGCCGGTCCTGTTACCATGCAGTGCAGTCAGATTGCCAGTCCCCTTGTCAGAAAGAAGCTTGCTTACTAGGGCCTTGGAGCTCATTAATTGTGTGTTGAATCAGTCTCCGAGCCCACGTGCTTTCCTAGGGACTCGGGTAGAAAAAAAGAACGTAATCTAAAGTTTTGCCTAACATTCAGCTAAAGCTTCTGGAATGGGATATTTAGAAGCTTGGAACGTTCTTACTGACTATTGCAGTACAACAAAGCAAACCATTCCTCTTTTAAGAAGTTGCTCTACTACTTTTCACATGATGCACATGAGGAAGTTGGTAGTTGTAGGTCATAAACTTGAAATATAAACTGAAAACACTTCGCTGATGATAAAGGTTGATTAGGCGCAGCCTTGAAAATGGCCAGGCTTTGAGTCAGAGCTAGGAGGAGCTTTGCCAACCTATTTGGTTTGTCCCTCTGGGACTGCACCTTAAGCATTCAAAAAATGTTTTTATTTAGTTTCCTAAGGACTAGGATTTTTGACACCATTTAGTATTTGGTTTCAGTGTTAACAATCTAAAAGTTTTTAGCTTGTTAGTAGATACCTACAATTTTGAGCAAGTGAGTTGAAATCTCTTACTCTGCCTTCTTGGTGATTTACAATGTTTTCTATTTTTCTAGATTAATTAACCTATTTCTTTAGGATAATATTTGCATTCAGATTACATCTCCAAAGCTCTATTTTTTAAAAAAGTATATATGTATTTTCTCCAGTGTGACCATATCATTTTTAGTGTGTAGGGCTTATCTATACCCAGAAATAGCGTACCTTGTTCTTGTACAGTGAAATTCCTGCTAAACCACTGTACTAAAGGATGTCTGAAAGAATGTACAGAACCAACTCACTGATCCACAGTCCCTTTGTTTTGCCCACTGGCTAAGAGCTACCATGAAATGAGGGTGGAAAGAAACAACTAAGGATAGATGCTGGGGAGAGGTTCTCTGGAAGAGGAAAGGCCACACAGATCAGGGGCCTTGTGGACTTCAAGAATCTGGGAATACAGAATACTCTCAACTTGCCCATCTCTTGACATCTTCAGGCTTCCTTCAGGCTCAACACCAGCATCTTCTCTGATTCACTAGCCCCACCACCTTTCCCACTCTGAGTTGACAGAATGCCTTTGGTAAATGCAGCTTCAGGAAGTGAAATCACAGAAATATAAGTTCTAAAATAGAACTTAGAGTGCCAGCTGAGGAGGTGGCTGGAATGCCAGCAGTTGCATATGCCTTGGCTCTGTGAATAAGCCGTCCATTTTGTAGAGCTTATAAATGTGACAACTTACATAGAAGCAAATACATAGAACAGCTGTTCTGTGTAAAATACTGTTGATTTTTTAGGTGGAGTTTGAAGATAAAGGTTATTTGCAATTTGTATTTCCTTAGACATATATGAATATATATAAGTTATATTTCCATGGCAGAAAGGATGGGTGGAGCACTTGCTGTCCAGGGTATATTTCTATGTTTGTGTCTCATTCAACACATTTTGTAATTGGATAGACTTTGTGCATGTGAGAAGGTGACATTTGCATTAGGAGATTTGAGATTGTTTGAAATCCAGTCAGTTGATAGGAAACTGTGATTAGGTTGCCAAAGATCATGAGGGCATGCTAGTGCAGTGGTAGCAGTTGTTCAGTCAGTGGACTTTCCATGATCCCCTGCTATGCGCCAGGCAGCAGTCTAGACATGAAGGTACAAGGATAAATAAGATACGGTTTTTGGCGCTCTAGCCTGGTGATAGGAAGGGCATGTGTGCCGAGAAATGGCACTTAGTCCAAAGTGGCTAGCATATGGAAGGATGGCCAGGAGCGAGACTGGGAAGGTAGAAAGACAGTTGAATGGGGTTGCAAGTTGCAATGGGCCTTGTATACTATACTGACGAATTTGCAGTTGATTCAGTATTCGTTGTGGAGTATAGTCAGGCTTAAAGCAGGAAATGACATGATCATATCTGTTGCTATTGGAGCTGACTGGCGGCAGGAGGCTACTTAAAAGTTATTTCATTGGGAGGCCGAGGCGAGGATCATGAGGTCAAGAGATTGAGACCATCCTGGCCAACATGGTGAAACCTCATCTCTACTAAAAATACAAAAATTAGCTGGGCGTGGTGGTACGTGCCTGTAGTCCCAGCTACTTGGGAGGCTGAGGTAGGAGAATTGCTTGAACCTGGGAGGCGGAGGTTGCAGTGAGCTGAGGTCACGCCACCGCACTCCAGCCTGGCACCTGGTGACGGAGTGAGACTCTGTCTCAAAAAAAAAAAAAAAAAGTGATTTCAGTGGTTTTTATGAGATCTAAGAAATACAGGAGGGGATAGTTTGTGAAAAATATTATATAAGTGATCAAAAAGCAGGAGTGGCAGATGAACGAATCACTCGAAGCATCGAAGGTGGTGGTGGCATGATACTGTTGACTTCATCAGCTTAAAGAAAGTATACGCCCCAAAAATACATATATACTTTTTTAAAAAATAGAGCAACATAGTGAGAACACATTTCTACAAAATATTAAAATATTAGCCGCGGTGGCAGATACCTGTAGTCCCAGGTACTTGGGAGGCTGAGATAGGAGAATTACCTGAGCCTGTGGAGGTCAAGGCTGCAGTGAGCTGGGATTGCAGCACTGCACTCCAGCTTGGGGAACAGAGCGAGACCCTGCCAAAAAAAAAAAAAAGTAAAAAGATACAAATACCTTTAGAGAGGGTTGAAAATCAGTAGATGAATTGGGATGTAAGATACTGGGAGTAGGAGAGAGGTGATAGGCTAACAGGGATAACTTAAATGCACTTACCTGGGTGTGCTGTGGAAATCACATCCTTCTGTCTCATGTATGACTTCATCAGTTTTATAGAAAAAATTGTGGCCATCAAGTAGCAGCTCTTTCATCTTGCTGATAACAGCCTCATTCTTGCATTTGTATCTGTTTTCACTCCCATTTTTAATGTGCTGTGTAGGGCAGCGGTCCCCAACCTTTTCGGCACTTTTAGAAGACAGTTTTTCCAGAGACTAGGATGATTTAGGGATGATTCAAGAACATTACATTTATTGTGCACTTTATTTCTATTGTTACTACATTATAATACATAATGAAATAATTATGCAACTCACTGTAATGTAGAATCAGTGGGAGCCCTGAGCTTGATTTCCTGCAGCTAGACAGTCCCATCTGGGGTTGATGAGAGAGACAGTGACAGTTCATCCAGCATTAAATTCTCATAAGGAGTGCCTAACCTAGATCCCTCGAATGTGCAGTTCACAATAGGGTCCATGCTGCTGTGAGAATCTAGTGCCACCACTGACCTGACCAGAAGTGGAGCTCAGATGGAATGCAAGAGATACAGAGTGGCTATAAATGTAGGCTGCACTCCTGCTGTGCTACCTGGTTCCTGACAGGTAGTTGCAGACCCCGGTGTAGGGGGCTTTCCTTCCTCCAGAGGTCTGCCTCCCATGCTTGGATCTGGTGCCTTCTCCCTCCTCAGGATCCTATTCCCACCCTCTCCACACTCCTTCCCACTGGCATACAGACGCACTCATTTCAGTTTCTTCTACCGGACCCTCCAACCTCCAGTTAAAGCCCGTCACTCTTCCATCTCAGCCAAATGCTCAAGGGTTGTCAGTACTTTCTCTCCCTTCACTCTTAGCCTCACTTCATTCTGGCTTCTGGCCCCATCATTCCACTAAAGACTTCTCACCAAAGTTAACTAGATGAGTTGATGCACTAGATCTTTTCTGCCTCCTCCCTAACCTCAGTAGACCAAGTGCTGCCTTCATTTGCTTTCTGAAACCCAGTGCTATCTGGCTTTCTTTTGACCTCTCTGGTCTACTTCTCTCTTTTGCATAATCATTCTCCTCCTCATAGCCATTAAATGTGGGTTATGAACTCAGCTACGTGTCTGTTCCTTTTCACAGGCTTTACACCTCTCCCAGGTGACCCACTTCATGGAGTTTCAATGACTACTTGTAAAGGTGAAATGTTCATACTTCTGGCCCAGATATCTTCTGATCTGCAATCCCATGTGTGCAACTCCTTGATCTCTCTTCTTGGCTATCTCTGTGGTACCTCAAACTCAGCATACTTAAAACTACATTTGTGGCGGGGGGGGGGAATGAAAAAACCAAGCTCTTCTCAAACCTCACTCTCTTCTAGTATTACCTAATTTAGGTTATCCCTCCATCCAATTGTGAGTCAGAAAACCAGGGGTCGTCCTTGGTAACACCTCTCTTCTTCACTTCCTCAAATCCAGTCTGTTACTCAGCCCTAGGATTTCACTTCCCAGACATCTCTGAAATTTGTCTACTTCTGTCCATCTCCTCTTTTCCCACTTTCTGAGTCATCGTTATCTCTGGCCATTATAATCTGGTGACTTCTTACCATAGTCCCCTGGCATCCATTCTTTCCTTCTAGTCCATTTTCTACATCACAAGCAGGGTGGCCTTTTCAAAATGCATCTCGGTGCTTGCATGTAACAGGTGCTTGTATGTAATCAGACTGCCACCTGTGTATACTATGAAAACATGAGAAAGCATTTTCCAGAACATTTGGAAGTATTCCCAAGCAGCTCATTGCATTGATGGACAGTTTCTACTGATTAGCAGCTATCTTGGTTATCAGATTGAAAAAGCGTAGCATATGTAGAGTTGGGTACTATCTGTGGTTTCAGGCATTGACCAGGGGTCTTGGAATGTATCTCCCTCGAA